AAAAAATAAATAACTTAAAAGCTATTACATTAATGTTTTGAAAATTAAGAGGAAAAAGCTGTATTTTGTGGAGTGAGGGGAGATTCCCTTCTGTCCTTCACCACCTTCTCCATCCCATCTTTCTCTCACCAGGTGGACAAGATTGTGGACCAGCTGCAGCAGTTAATGCAGGTGTATGACTTGGCTGCCCTTCGGGATTATTGGAGCTACCTGGAGCGCCGGCTCTTCAGCCGCTTGGAGGATATATATAGGCCCACCATCAATAAACTGAAAACCAGCCTGTTCCGCTTTTATCTTGTCTACACAATTCAGGTGCTTGTTGATTCAGTGGTTCTGCTTCCCTTGATAGAGAGAGCCCTTTGATCCAGAAACAGATTTTCTTCTAACCCCGAGGAAGAATTCTGCATGTTACTATGGAAAAGAGAACAGTCATAGTGCAAATTATTTTTGACTTTTTTTTTCTTATCATCTCTAGATCATCTTACTCGTCTTCCCTATTCTTATTTCCCCTTAAGTATTAAGCACATTAGCTTGGGTAGTGTTTTAAAGAATATATGTAGATGGGTTAAAGTTTGAGGAGTAAAGATTATAGCTGACCTGGGGGAGTAAATCATTAGGTTATTCGAACATCAACTAGGGATTAATTTTCAGGATGGCATTTGTCATTAGAACTTCAGTTTAAACCAGCTTTGAAATAACAAGGTCCTTGCAAAAAGAGTGATGATCTCCTTTATATTATGGAGTTTGTAGATCCTGTTTTGCTACTGCTGGCAGACTGATGTCCAAAGGCTGTCTGCTATGCAGTGATGAAGAATCTTCTCTCTGCACTTCTGTTTTTTCTCCCTCCTTACCACCTCCTTGATGTCTTGGCAGACAAACAGAAATGACAAGGCCCAGGAGTTCTTTGCAAAACAGGCCACCGAGCTCCAGAACCAGGCTGAGTGGAAAGATTGGTTTGTCCTGCCCTTCCTGCCATCCCCAGACACCAACCCTACCTTTGCTACCTACTTTTCTCGACAGTGGGCCGACACCTTCATTGTGTCCCTGCACAACTTCCTGAGTGTCCTGTTTCGGTGCATGCATATCCTTTCAGCTGCCTGGGGCTGTGGGCCTGCTCTGAGGCAGCCAGACAATGTGACCAGTAGCCGCCACTCTTGATGCAGCCATTTCTTCTACAGAATGCCCAAGGATTGCTGTCATGTGAGGGGGCTGGACAAATTGTGGTTATTTTTGTCAGTGAGCCAGGGAATCATAAATCTTAGTTCTGCTGCTGTGCTGCTGAACTAATAGCTGACATGCATGGTGGTAGCAACGGGTGTTAGTACTGGGCTGTGTCAGCAGGCACGGGGGTTGGAAAGCAGCCGTTGCTTGGAGAACCAGCCGACCTTGAGATCACCCTCTCTGTGCAGACATGTGTCCCTGGGGATATCACTTGCCTTTGTTGGGATTAGGCAGCAGATGAGAAAGAA